AAAAAAAAAAAAAAAAAGCCTCTTAGAATACTGTACAACTTGCTGAGAATGATGGTTTCCAGGTTTATCCATGTCCCTACAAAGGACATGACCTCATCGTTTTTGATGGCTGCATAATATTCCTTGGTGTATATGTGCCACATTTTCACTGTCCAGTCTATCATTGATGGGCCTTTGGGTTGGTTCCAGGTCTTTGCTATTGTAAACAGTGCTGTAGTGAACATTCGTGTGCATGTGTCCTTACAGTAGAATAATTTATAGTCCTTTGGATATCTATGCAGTAATGGGATTGCTGGGTCAAATGGAATTTCTATTTCTAGGTCCTTGAGGAATCGCCACACAAGAACAGAAAATCAAACACCGCATGTTCTCACTCATAGGTGGCTGTTGAACAATGAGAACACATGGACACAGGGAGGGGAGCACCACACACTCGGGTTTGTTGTGGGGAAATAGGGGAGGGACAGCAGGGGGTTGGGAGTTGGGGAGAGATAGCATGGGGAGAAATGCCAGATATAGGTGAAGGGGAGGAAGGCAGCAAATCACACTGCCATGTGTGTACCTATGCAACAATCTTGCATGTTCTTCACATGTACCCCAAAACCTAAAATGCAATTTAAAAAAATTAAAAATTAAAAAAAAATTTAAAAAAAGAAAGAGAACTGAGAAGGGAGAGAAAAGTATTCCTACAATAATAATAAAATAAAAATTTTTTTAAATTAAAAAAAGAAATAATATACTGTGTCAAATGCCTGGCTCATTATATTATTCTCCTTGTATTATTCTTGTTAGTATTATGACCAGTACTATTCATGTCTAATAAAAATTACATGCTTAAAAGAAAAAAAAGAAAATACTGTACAACTTTAATTTTTCAATCCTTCCTACTTCTCATACCTCAAAATAAACACTGTAGTCTCAAATATACTTATACTACTTAGTTTAAATTAATTCCTTTTTATCTGAATAAAGTAAGAACAGAAGTAATGATCAATATTTCTATTTAGTATCTAATTCAGTTACACTTCAACTAAATCAGAAAGAATAAAACTATAATTGCCATAAAAGTCTTAACTGAAATAACAAATCCTTGCAATCTAAATATATATGAATAAATTAAGCAGGGAAAGTAACAAGGAACACTAAAGCTTTGGCCACCCATTATTTATGTTATGTTTTTGGAAACTCTAATATTATTTAAATTTTATTTTTTTCAGTACCTTCTTGGATACTATCATGCTTTTGTTTTCTAAATCTTTCTTGCCCTAGTCATCAGTTATACATCCTATAGGGAATATGTGCTCCTCTTCCACATATTGAGCTAGAAAGCAAAGTTGGAGAAATGGCCACTTGCTAGCATTGCTATTTCATATATTTGGCCTCAGGCTCTTTCCTAACCCATATTAGAGCCAGCAAGAATCTATTAAAGTTCTTCCCACAATGATCAAAGCTTGTAGTGATTTTATTGCTGCCAGAAAAAATGTAAAACCATGTTGGTGAACAGTGAATAATTAAAAAGCAGCATTTTTACAGCACAAACAACAGTTGTAATATATAAAAAAGACTTAAAATTGAAACCATGAATCATCTGAAGTAAAAATAACAATGACATGCTAAAACATTTTCACTATTCAGTAACACACTATGGCCAAATTTAAATATATCGCCATGTAAATCAAAGCCATTTTATCTGCCCACGGAACCCATGACATACTATGGTAAATTGCCTGATACCAAAAGAGCTTTTCTGAGAAAAGATCATTTTAGAAGGAATATGCATTATAGGCGAATTCATCCTTTGTATTTATTTAGAAAGAAAGACTACTTACCACCTTGTCATCTCCAGGAGCTTCGGTGTTTGATACAATCAGGTTCTGCTGGGCTAAATCATCAGGAATTACTTTTGGTGGTTTGGATGTCCGAGAAGCCCCACAGACTAGTGTAAATAGGATGCCTGGATGAAGAAAGAAATATAAGTTTATCATAAAATAATGTGATGTGATAAATGTACAATGGTTAATACACGGATAAATCGTAAATTTAAAAGTGCATATTAAAAGGAGACAGTTTTTATGGGATTGCTTGTATCAAAGCAGTATATAATAGAAAAGTTTAAATAGAAATGCTATTTAAACTTTTAAATAGATATGCTATGATTATGTTACATGCTCTGTTTCTACATTGAAATTTATGTCTCTGATAACGCAGAAGACACTAGAACTACACATAAATGCATTTAAATATATAAATAAAATATATACATTAAATAAAAATACATCTATATGCAAACGATCAGCTATAGGAAACAGTACTGATTCTTAGACTGTGTCTTGAAAGTTGGCCAGTTATGGTGGCTCATGCTTGTAATCCCAGCACTTTGAGAAGCTGAAGTGGGTGGATCACTTGAGCCCAGGAGTTAGAGACTAGCCTGGTCAGCACAGTGAAATCTGTCTCTACTAAAAGTGGAAAAAATTAGCTGGGCATGGTGGTGCACACCTGTAATCCCAGATACTCTGGAGACTGAAGCATGAGAATTGCTGGAATCAGGGAGGTGGAGGTTGCAGTGAGCTGAGATCACACCACTGCACTCCAGCCTGGACTCTGTCTCAAAAAAAAAAAAAAAAAAAAAAAGTATCTTGAAAGTTACTTTAAAGGCTATTATCTGAATTCAAGAAAGGACTTACAAAATAGCAACGCTATGCCCAACAATATTGCAAGGATGGCCCACTTTCCAAGTTGGACTCCTCCACCGCCAGTCCTTGGATCTACACGAAATGTGCAGTCATTTTCGGTAATGCAGTCACACAGAGTAACATCCAATGAACTGACACTAGACAGGCCAAATCTATCTCTCACTCTTATAGGCACTACATATTTGCCAAATGCAGGGTCATTCTGATAGGAAAGACGTGCTGCTGTATCTGAAAACATAAGTAAATAAAACCAAGCATTATATAATGTCATGGACTTCTTCTGAGAATAAATAACTAATTATCAGACAGTTATATTTTCCTACAAACAGACATTCTTGATGGAATGACACAACTACTAGAACATTCTAAATGTGAATGGATAGAGTAGTTCTGATCTATACCCATTGCAAATATATTACATACAAAAGTTTGTTTATGCTGCCTCTTAAACTAAGTCTTTTGGCTCTTGTTATAATATATTTTATTTGCCTGTAAACAAATCCTTCTTATCATAACTAATAGGCTTGTTAATAGATTAGTTTTTACCATATCTTGAAAATATTTAATTAAACCAGTGAGTATACATTTTCTTTTACAGATGCTTCATCTACGTAATAGTCTGGAATAATGGATGTTTTCCTTTACTTCGTTTTCATAAATTGTGCTGACTTACTGTCAGAGACTGATTCTGACAATTTAGAACACTCTTGATGGTGACTACATTAGCAGGTCATGAGTCACACAGTTGGAACTGCATCTCCTGGTCCTAAAGGATGAAGGGACCAACTGCAAATGTCTTAGTTTTGATGTAGTTTTCTTAGATAAAGGCTAGAAAATATCCAGAACCAAAAGCCCATACGGATTATTTTATGAATTCTTTGGTGCATAAATATGATGATAGAGTTTTTACACTCATGTAAGAGATGCACCTCCTTCAAACCTTTTTACAACATCAGTACATTACCCATCTGACATGAACTTAGAAGAAGAAAAAATAATAAAAATTTTTTAAAAATGTTTAAAGACAATACAATCTTGGTTTCAGAGCCTAGATACACTACCACTCTAAATGTGGACACCACATGCCATAGAATAATCTCTCCCACATAACTGCCCAACATGACATTCTCATTTTTCTGCATAGTATTTGAAGCTCTAAATACAAACCTGAATGCTGGGTAAAAAAAAAACATTGAATTATGTCCATTTTAAAAGAAGCCATGGTTAACCTGTAAAGTCTATTGTGTTAAGAAATTATAATGAGACTAACAAAACCAAAACTTATAATTCCTAATGTGAATGTGTCACGGTGTATTGCATGCATTGTATTTACTCCCCCAAATAAGCCCATTTTACAAGAGTAAATTGATGCTCAAAGAGAATAAATAGCATGTCAGATTTTCATAACTAACAAACAGTGGAGAGCCAACATTTGACACTAAGCTTATCTTACTTCAAAGCCTCTTTAGGTTCTCTTCTTCTTAAAACTTGGGTGTTTCCCAAGCTTATAAGTGATTACCCAGATAAGTAAATCTTTAAAATAACAAAGATTTTGACAAACATACAGCTGCCAAAGGTTTATTTTGCTAAATAAGACTACGAGGGAAGAAAATGTCTACCTGCTATCAACACTATTTAAAAATAAATATCATGACAACAAATAAATAGAAAAGAAAAAAATCTAAGAATAAAGTTAATTCTTTCTCCCAATCTTAAACTGATAACCCCCCGATACACACACACACACACACACACACACACACACAAACACACACACACACACCAGAATATTGTTTAAAAAGCTGAAAATCTTGTTAGTTTACAGAGCAGGATCCAAGACAGAGTAGCTTAGCTTATTCCTAGAAGTCTTCATTTTTCTTTCCTCATCCTGTTCTCCCTTTGCATTCCCTCATAACCTTTGTTTTTTAATTTGTCCTAACAGGAAATTGAGAGATATTTACTGAAAGCATGGGGTGAAAAAATATTCAAGGGCATTTGAAAGGCAAGTCCCATTCAGTGGTTCAAGAGTCACGAAAGCTGGTAGACCATGACACCACGGTCCCTAGGCAGTGTGAGCAGGAGATGGGAGACCTGCTGAAGAGTTAAGGGCTGACTAGGGAGTGAGGCAGTGGTGATAATGTAGACTGGTTGTGTTCATTTTTGCCATACTTATCACTGTAGATCCTTCTGTGCTTAAGTGAAAAGTACAGAGGGAGAACCAAGTTAGGGGAAAACTCCAAGAAGAATATAATAGATGTGAAATAGTCAGAAGTCAATACAGTGGCAGAGAGGAGAGAGAATGAGATGGACAATATGGTCTACACCAGATCCCTTTACAATGAAGGACTTTCGTCCCAGCTGCATGGGAGGCCATCGGCACCTTCTGTGATTGTGCTTTTTTGCCATGGGCAGCCCACACACACTGATGGAGCAGTAAGACTCAGGACCACTCTGAAGGCCCATTTAGCTCAGACTCCCTCTGGGGTTCACCAAGGTTGTCATCTGGCTCGTGCTGCAACTTGAGTTATCTTTTTGCCCAATCCCACTTTTCCTCCTTTCACAGCTACTGATCTAAAGCAAATTCCTTAGGAATCATTCTGCTCGAAATGCCCTGTCTCAGGGTCTGCTTTCTGGAGAGTCAACCTATAACAGGTGAAGACTGCCTCATGACCTAGGAAACTATAAAGAAATTTATGCCAGTGGGAGATACAGAGGTTAGGAAGTGATTACATTAGACCCAGTCTAAGAGAGAGAGAGAGTGCATGTGTGTGTATTTGGAGTGGGAGTGAGAATTCACAACACACCTAAGGGAATCTCAAGATAGGATCAGAGACACAACAGAGAGACCTACTCCCCACACACGAAAACTGAGAAACTTCCATTGCTGGTTCCCACATGATGAATTTTCTTCTATTTCATACCTCAAAAAAAGTATTGCAGACATTCTGATATTGAAAAAGACAAAGCAATTGTCAAAAATATATACCATTAATTTTTTCCAGTCTCCACATTCTCTGTACTTCTGAAGAAGAACTTTCCAGACTAAAGTCAAAGGGTGGGCCATTGATAGGCTCATCAGGATCAACCGCAACTATCTCTGCAGATGACATGGTGGGTTTGCAGATGGTCACTTGCCGTTTAGGTATGAATGGGCCGTTATCATTCACATCTTGAAGTATAATGCCGAGTGTCCCCGTACATGTTCTCCCCTCTAGAAAAATGAAAATAAAATACTCTTTTTATGTTTTGAGTTTTCACCACAAAGTTATACATTGAAAACATTGAAAAATATTTATTAAGCATTACATTACATTTATCTATAATGTAAAAGTTACAATGGCAAGCAGCCACAAGCTACGTCCTCCGGAAATGTTAAATGAAAAATATTATTCCTTTCATATGGGTTGTACAAACAATTACTGCTATTAAGATGTGTTTATTCATTTTCTAAATTATTACTGCATTTTATTAGAGGTGAGTTTTGGCTGATTTGTGAGAGGAGAAAGGAAGAGCGTGTGAATGAGGACACTTCTAGTATATTTAAAAGCCCAAGGAAATTCAAGGAGGTGGAAACACATGTTATACACACCCATGATCTGGAGGCAATGACAGGGAAGGTAGACAGGTGGAAACTGACACAGAAGCAGGAGCTAATAGTCTTTGAAAGCCAGACTAGGGAGCTTAGAGTTTGATGGAAACATAGGTAGCACTTAGGCTTTGGAGCAAAGCAATTGAAGTTATATATTTAAATGATTGTAACAAAAATAGTATATGGGAATATTCAGGAGTAGAAAATCACTTGAAAACTGAAATAATCACTGTGGGGTGTAGCCTAAGTCATGCATCTATCTATATACTCAATAGAAAATTACAGGATAACTATTTTATGTAAAGCATAGTTGCAAGTAACCATCTTCTAAAAGCTGGAATAATACAATAGAAACAATAATCTAAAGCTCAACTATATAGAGGTGTTACCTGGGTAAAACTGCCAACAAAATTTAGATTAAGAAGTTGAGAAGGAAAGAAAATTTGAATTTAAAGCTTAAGAAATATATATCTTTAGGAGAGGGGAAGGCAGTTAAGACCAGAAGGCATGCAGGAATGTGTGGGCAAGTTTAGACATAGAAGCCTTGAGAAAGAGTTTTAAAAAGAGGAAGCAATTGCTGTGGAGGTGTAGGAGGGTGGGAAGTGAGCATCAACCCAAGAAATCAGTATTTATGAGGAGATGTTTTCATTAGGGAGTGGCAGGGAGGACCCAAATGAAATTAGCCAGTATAGATTTTAGAAAAAAGTTTTTTAAAAAATGAAACACTTGTGTATATTCTCAGTTTATTCAATTCACAAAGCAAAAAGATGTGGAATTATTCATTCGCAGTTCCCTCACACAGACGTAACACAAATGACTCCCACCCTCTTCAAAAGAAATGAATGGGAACAGCCTCACTAAACATTTATTCTATATCACAATGGTGATTAGCAGTGCCCCATCTCGATTCCATACAAATATTTGATTTCTCAATCATTCGAACTCCTCTGCAACAGAGGAGAAGGTAAAGTTAACGCCAGAATCTCTAATTTCAGACAGCAGTTTATAGACAGATAAGTTAAAAATTCCTGTCCAAAATTAGAGATTACTGTTAAAAACATAAATCCATTATGTTTTTAACAGTAATCTCTCAAGTACTGTTAAAAACATAATGGATTTGAGTTTCATGTTACTTTTTTTCATTTGCCTTTGACCAAAAAGTATTTATTGGCAAAAAGACATGAGAAGTTGAGGCCTTAACAGTCTTTAATTAAAGACAAATCAATAATGATTACAACTTTACCAGTTTAATAAATTGAGTCATTTCTCATTAATTTATACAGAACTGGAATACATAAATCATGTTCCAAAATCACATCTAAATTCTAATTTTGCAGGTTATAGCATAATAATGTATGTTTATTATAGTTAGCATATTTATTTTACAAAGACACAAAGTTCAAATTCATGTTACAGAAATTATATTTTATGCACCAAATGGATCTCATATATAATTGTTATATGCACAGTTCTCTAAATTTTATAGAATGCACAGAATTTTACATTTTATATGATTATATGAATTCATAGTGTTTGTCTCTCTAATTTTATAATATAGTATTTATTTACCATGGTCATAAATATACCATGATTTATTTTTCTATAATGTCTTTAATCAGAATTCTAGTCCCCAAGTATATTGTTAGGTTCCTGTAAAAAGTTATAGCTGTTTTCCAGGACTGCATTATGTAAGTGTGTTCTCGCTTTAATGAATTTTCCTGCCAAAGTGAATACTTTAAGCAAAATAAGTAGATAAATAGAAACAAGGTTTTTTTAATTTTTTAATTTTTTATTTTTTGAGACAGAGTCTCACTTTGTCACCGAGACTGGAGTGCAGTGGTATAATCTCAGCTCACTGCAACTTCCACCTCTCAGGTTCAAGTGATTCTCCTGTCTCAGCCTGCCAAGTAGCTGGGATTACAGGCACCTGCCACCACACCCCCCTAATTTTTAACATGTTGGTAGAGATGGGGCTTTACCATGTAGGCCAGGCTAATCTTGAACTCCTGACCACAAGTGATCTGTCTGCCTTGGCCTCCCAAAGTGCTGGGATTATAGGCATGAGCCACTATGCCTGGCTGAAACAAGTTTTACTGAAATAATTCTCTCAATTTTTAATAATTTTACCTTTAATAAATTATGGTTTCAAGTGTTTCTATGAGTAAATTATTTTATAATTATATAAAAAACTGAGAAGGCTATTAGAAAGTAGACATGAGTTAACAAATTATAGTAAACTTCTTACTTTATATTGAGAGATATGATAACTGAGAGTGTATGTAGCTGGCTTTACAATGTATATTGTTGGCTTAAACACTGAAGATGTTTGTAGCCGAGGAAGTATGTGCCTGGCTTAAAAACAAATTCTTACTTTGGTCTGATGCA